AACTGGCTCTTTTTCTTTTATTGGGTGGTTGTGAGCTTATTGTTGTATATTGTTCTTTAATCATATCAAGCTAATTATTATATACTTTACCAGATGTGATATTAGATAAGTAGGATGATGATTTTGGGTTGTTAGTAGTATAGCTCTATTCGATTTCTGATGAAATAATATGTAAGAGTTTACTATTAGGACTAAGTTTCAATCTTCCAACAGCAGAAATGACACTTTTTTTTAGACTTTCTTTAAGTAAATCATAGCGACTATTTGCATTTGTATAAGATACAATTATATTTGATTTTATGCCTTTCTGACCGTTTATGGGATTATAGAGCTTTTTAGATAATATAAAACTCTGTCTTCCTATACTGTTATTTAATTTATAGGAGTTTGCTACAGTGGAAGTAGTATAAATTAATAGCAGGAAGGTATAGAAAAAGTTTTTAGAGAAACACATAGAGTTAGGAGCGGAAGAAATTGGTATAGTTTGAATAAAACTAAGCTTTTAAAGAGAAGTAGGGTTAGATTTGAATAGTAAAGTGAAGAGAATATGTTTTCATCAATAGAAATCAAAGAGATTGACATTTTAAAAAAAAATAATATCTTAAGTTTTAGTGCTTATATATCACCAAATTTGAAGCTATTTTCATAATTTAATAGAATAGTTTAAAAATTCATTGAGATAGAAGTAACAAAGTTATAGCATTAATCTTTTTTAAAATATAAATGTATTTGATTTTTATTGACGGCAGCCCAAATATTCAAGAAAAGTAAATATATATATTCAACATTTTCCTGATAAATGTATTTTCTGATCATTTGTATGATAGAGTTTTTTCAAAATTAATTATTAGAGAGTCAACATTGCCAGTAAAACCTTTGTAGATGAGTTCTCTAAATTTATTATCTTCATCATTAATATAATAGAGGGCAGTTTTATTTACGAATTTGTTATTTTTGCTAATAGTTTTAACAAAACAAAAAGCGATAAAGATAGAAGACATTTTGATGAAAGTAATTCAAGTATATCAAATAAATTTTTTTATTTTTAATTGCAGTATTACGGTGTTGTAATCTTT